TTTGTTTTAAAGAAATTTTTTAGTATTCCAGGAAAGAAGCCTCAAGCACAGAGCTAGGGGCAGGTTCAGAAGCAGCTGCCTCAGGCATCGACTGGCCCTACCCTGACTAATGGTACATTGGCTGCCACTCCAGTGCGGAATCCACTCAGCGCCAGTGCCCTTTATACACGAAGCCATTCCCAGAGTCTGCCATTCCTTAAGCAACGCAGATTGAGGGTCCGTGCTACCGTCTTCAGTGACGGTCCTACTGTGGGCTTCCACTTCTGCGTGGGGGTGACTGCTGTGAACCACACCCAGAAATTGTGAACGCTCCCCTTCTCCTCTGTGCTGTGTATTTGCTCCTTTAGCTTCTCAACAACTGCCACGAGCCCCTGGGCCAGAATTCAAGTCTGATTCATCTTGGTGTGTGCCGAGCTTGGCATGGGGCCTGGCACAGAGAGGCTGCTCAATAAATAAGCCAACTAACAGCAAGCCAGCTTAAGAAACCACCCTATTCACCCTTTCCCACACCCTCCAAGTTTGAATTTCTCCTTTTTCTCCCAAACCAGCCGGCTCTTTCCCTCTGTGTTTGCTCTGAAATAGGAATGTCATGCACTTCTTTAAGGGCAAGTGAGTCCTTTATAAAGTCGGAGGGTGGCTTTTCCTGTGAAGATGTGTAGGAGACCATCAGCAAGATGGAGAATATTACCACCCATCCTGCAAAAGTGATACAAGCATTTCTTAAAGGGTGAACCACAAGGAAAGGTGGTTTCTAGGGAAGCAGGGGTGTGTGTGTGTGTGTGTGTGTGTGTGTGTGTGTGTGTGTGTGTGCAACCTTAATTAACACAGGATACTTTTTAAGTATCAGGTATTGAAAAGGCCTTAAGATACACGGAAACCCTAGGCTACAGAATGAAGACAGAGAAGGCGGCTGCGCCTGGCAACTCCTGGAAGAAAAAGCCAGAGGGCCCTGTTCTCAGAGTCATGGCAGCCTTCACCTCACACTGGGAGATGCGCCACCAGGGGACACCCACCCTCTTGCTTCCAAGCTCAGTTTTCCCGTACAGTGTGGCAGGCACTAGGCAGCGAGACCAACAAAGCGCCTGGCCACTTAGCTGCCCTTTTACAACACCACCACGGATCCACACCCTGTCGCTTCAGCCAGCCCCAGGATAGGGTTACACCACTTTCCTTTTTCTGTTTTCTTTTTCTTTTTTTCTGAAAGACTAGAGCTCTACAAATCTCTCCCCAGCGAGAGCCTAATCCGGGCACAAGGGAAAAAAAGTCATTTTCCTTCCCCAAGGTTGGCAAAATTTCCCCTATTCCCCTGCCCTTAGGGGCCCCCTCAGGTCTCAGCCCTTGGCGCAGAAGGAGAAAGGGGGCCGACCCCAGATTACTGCGGCCTCGCCCTGCGAGCAAGTTTCCACTGGCTTGGCCGCTTGCGGAATTGCCAGGGCCGGCGCTGAACGTGGACAGAGAGCTTCTCCACATCCCGGATCCTGCGCCTCGAGCCCCCTGCGTGCGGAGCCCCGATCGGTGTCCCGGGTGGGGGTCCCCACTTACCCCACGACGGAAATCATCATGGCAGCCACCACCAGGTAGTTGGTCTGGTAATAGAGCAGGTTGCTCACCACGCGGTTGTTCCATTTGGAAATGTCCCTGAAGTCTGGCCGGGCGAAGCGGTCAGAGCCAGGGAAGAAATCGTCCCAGGCGCGGAGTGGGGCGATATTCACGTCCATGTTCTCCGCTTGGCGTTCTTCGCCTCCGGAATCCCGTGGCGGCGGCGGCGGCAACCGATCAGCTGAGCTGGGTTGAAGAGCTGACAGCGGCTCCGTCGCGATCGGCTTTGCGGTTGGCAGGCAGCAGAGCAACGGAAATTGAGAGCGGGCGGGCGTGTTTGCTCTTCTTCTTGATTGGCTCCGAGTGGTTACAGCAAAACAGGGGCCCCGCGACAGAGCAAGGGACCCAGTGCAGAGTAGAGATGAAATGACCGAAAGCAACCAGCGGAAATCCCCTGTCTGAAGCGACGTGGTAATGCCTTCCTGACAGTCCAAATACCAACTGC